TATCAATTTTAGGTTTTAAATGTAACAAAGTAAAAGTATGATTAAAAAATACTTAAAATTACAAATCCTTAAAATAAATGTACTTAGCTACTATTAAAACTCTAGAGAAAGGATATGCATCAAAATGAGCCAAGCTTGAGTTTTAAAGGTTACAGTAAGCTAATGTGGAAAACTATTAGAAAACATGAAGTTCAAAGACTGAAGCCATTGCTTTTTGGTGGCAGGAAAGTGTTATTKTAAGGGCCAAATGGAGACCCAAAGCTGGATTAGGACCACCTGCACAGACACTACAAATGCTGCTCAGAAACACAAAATTTTAAATYAAATCATTTTGTCCTTAACGGATCTCAGAAATTTTTTTTGCAAAATTTGAGCAGCATTTCACACCAAGTTCTTACCTCCCCAAAAAGCATCCCTGTTTTGCATGGAGTTGTTTTGACTTCTGCAGTCCTGTGGTCATTCARCCATCCTGCTCTGCATTTCTGCAGCTCCCAGCCCAGCAGAACACCCCCCCCGCCCCTCCTCCTCTAATCAGGTCCAGATCAGTCAGGAAGTGTCCCTCCCTCTCTTCTCCAGACAAGACTTCTGTAAGTTCAGTTCTGTGACATTAAAAAAAAACGGTGTTTTAAAAGTCCAAAATGTGAGAAGGGAGGGCAGAGATCTGATGTTTCTATTTGGAGCATCTGATCCCACTGAGTGTGCTCCTGGGGGCCGCTAAGCCTCGTCAGCCCCTCCCTCGTTTCTCCCCAGCAGAACAAATCGCCTGCCACTGCACTTCACGCACTTCAGAGTCAAACCCGCCCCACCACCACAACCACCTCAAGATCCCTTCCTCCTGCCCTCCAGCCGGCACCCCACTTGGCTGCAGGATACACAACCAGACAACAACTCCCCCCCACAAAAACACCATTAGTTCTACAATCTAACCCACTCGCCCTACCAAAATAAAGGCTTAAACTTGCAGTTGAAGGTTCATCTATTTTATAGAAGCTAAACGCTGATTTATTTTGAACCATTTGGTAACATTTTGACCCGTCTGTATTTGAGGTATAAAGCAGCTCTTCCACGTCTTGTTGGYGTTTCTTGGGTTAAATATTAACCTTGCTTCCTCTCCAGTCATCCACCTCATGGTGTTTTCATGCAGGGGTGGGGTTGGGAGGGTCTGCTCGCAGACATCACCCTTCCCTTTCCTCTGGTGTCCTGAATGAGTGAGAGGAACGGGTCCCCCCCCCCGCTCTCATCTCTCACTTCGGGCCACCACAATGACCGTATTGTCGTCGAACACTTCACTTCGACAAATCCAACAATGCGGCAGATGTGGCGCTGATGGGGGTAAAAAAACGGTCAATGAAATATGAAGAAATATAAAATATAAAACTCAGGTGGCTGTAAAGATACAAGCTGCAGGATAAAAAAATCAASTCACAGGCAGAATGTTTGTTGGGATTATTTGAACAAGTTCTGCTTCATCCGTCACTGTGAGCGGCTGAAAAGCGGCTTCATTTCAGGAGGCAAAAGATGAGAAATGAGTTTCCTCAATTGTTCATTAAACAAAGATGCTCCTCTCCTTTGACGAGTCGACAAAGTCAACCGGCCAGATGACCTGCTAATAATGAGAAATGACTCGCGTGGTTGAGAGGGGAAAAAAAAGGAACTCGGTGTGTTTTTACCAACGGGGTCCGCTTTCCTTACTATCACAGCTGTGAGACTGCGAGGGGAGACAGAGGAGCTTGGCGGGCCTGTCGAACTTTTCCAGGACTGTTGGCAGCGCTCAGGAGGACGTGCATCGACTTTCCTCAGATATGGATCTGCATCAGAACTCCTTCTGGAACACGAGAAGAGAGGGGGAACCTCTGTTCGCCTGACAGACGAATGCTTCATTAAAATAATGAAAACAGGCCAGGAGTGGGTGAGGAATGTTCCGGCATGAATAGGAGGACAGGTTGTTTTGTTGAAGACAATAGACAGAAATCATCTTTTCAGACCGGGCCTGGGCTTGTGGCCAGGGACCTAGGGTTCTTTAGAAAACACCACTGACCTTGGCATCGATTTGGCTTCCACCTAAATGAGAAAAAGGTATTTCAGATTGTCTATTTAATGTTTTAAACATTAMAATTCTAGGGGTTTTGACTTATTAATGGTGTGATTTAGAAGTTTTCTCACGTCATTGCACTGATAATGATCCAAGGATAGAGTGCTTAACTAGATGACTTCTAGTCAAGTTAGTAAAATTATTCAACTGGATGCCAACTTTTGCCCCCTCACCATTTTATTCATCCCAAATCAGCACATCTATTTAAAAAACTGTTATTTTGAAAATACAGATAATTTTTTTTCAGATTTTAGTCATTTTAGTATATGCATATGTGTTCGGGAAAACTTTTGTGCCATTTATGTTAAACACATGATTCTGCTTTCATTCAGATGTCCTGGCCTGATGAGCAGAAATGCACTAATGGGAAGTTTATGCAGTGACCTACRACCCCAGTGTTCAGTTTAACTGCACGAATGCACGGGAATCCCAAGTAGATGGAGAGTTTTTCCCAAAAGGGAAATTAGAAATGCTATTACAATTTCTTGATCCCACTTTTGGGTGATATCCACGAAAAAAAATCAGCCCAAAAATAATAATTTTGATCAAAAATTTGGTAAATATTCAGATAAATCTGATTATTTTTTCCTGAAAAGCTTTATTTTAAATCAGTTCTCTTTTCTTGGCAAAGACCAGATCTAGTTTTGCTTCCTGCTCGTGAAATCTACACACACGCGCACTTACACACACTTTCTGGCTGCACATTTCATCTCCTGGAACAGAGCTTAGCTGCTAATTTGGCCTTTTCTAAATATTCATTGTGGGGGTGAGATTTACAAAGCAAACATGCTGTTTTACAGCTCCGTGGTCTGYTTTTTTAATGCTTAACGGACATTCACACCTGGAATTTGTCAGCAGAGTTTCAACCCCAGGAGGCAAAAAAATAAATAAAAAGTTGTTCACCTTGAATCTGGGTGTTATAGATGCCCCTTTGACTGCTGAAAACAAAAACTCATCGAGGACAGTAACGTGTCTCAGCAGGCTGCGGGACAGTTTGTCATCTGAGCAGAAGTCAGACAGAAAACAGAGATCATTCCTGACGTTAAAGCAGCGGAAAGTGCAGGGATGTGATCAAATATAYGAGATAAAAACTGTCTAAAGTGGCTTCAACTGTCAATTCTCTAAGCCTAATTCAAGTAGCGATGGCTGTCTGTTATGCTGGTTAAATACTACTGGTTATTATCCGTGCTAGCAAAATCTCTCATGAATCGTAACAAATTTTAAACAAATTCTCAGAAATGAATTGAAAGGAATTTATTAGTTAGAAAACTGATTTAGAAGCACRACACTATTTTCTTAGTTTTCCTTTTAAGTATTGACTTTTATAATCCATTGTTTAACTATTGTTATGTCTTGATTAAAATAGTTTAGATACATGCCCGAAAACATTATGACAACACAGAGAAATACCGTTATTAATTCATTAGGAAAGATGTGTTAGAGCGGTCTGCGTTGCAGCACTAGGCCTACAGTGGGCGCTCCAGGCACTGAAGACACTGTGTAAAAAGACAGGAAGTTCTGGGTTTCAGGCAGCGCTGCTCAGATTGCTTCTAGCCTAAGTAATAAAGCTTCRCTCATAACCAGATCTGGGTTGTATGGTCCCTATTCTTGTCACATTTTAATCTATTCAATATTATGTGGCTTTGTCACAATTTCAGTTAACGAACACGAAACATTCTTACAGAATCATGGTTGACACAGTTGATCAGCTATTGAACCCATTCCAATCCAAGATGGCCGCCAACACTGGCACACTCAAGCATGGATATAAAGCTGTCAAATGTAAACATTTTGGCGAGTCAGCCACAACACGTGAAGGGACAAATTGTAATGATTTTCTCATGGTTAAAAAAAAGTGCACACATTTCAGAAAGCTTGGAGCAACAGTTCAACCTTTCAAGGCTTTTCTGCCCAGTTCATGCTGACAGACCCCTCTCAGCGGTCTTACACGCCAAGAAAAAAGAACTTTAGCCTTTGCTAACAACAGGCCCAACTTACTGCTCGTCAGGTCTGAGGTTCTCAGTCAGCCCTGCCAGGCCACTGTTAACATTACTCGACATGCGGCATCCATGTTTTCGGTCATAAAACACTCTCTTGAGATTTGTGAACCGCTGCATACATTTGGAGCAACAAAAGCTGCAATAAAAGCACTATTAAAATCCAGGAAATTGTAAACTGTGAAGGGAGCACGGATGAATATTAGGTTAAACTTGAAATTCAACTTTCCATTTCAGACATGGATACTTTTTCTTGTAGGGGAATCAACAGTCATGGTGACCTTATTAACTGTACTGGATTAATCCTGCAGGGAGGTTTTTCTTACACTTCAACGTGACACACAGCAGCAAGTAGCATGCTTGTGTGTGTTATRTTGAGATTTAGGAGCAAAGAGAGAGTCTTGTGCATCTCATCCAGCTCTAATTTGATATTGCTAACTGATGCATTCCTTTAATAAAAGCCAGAGGACATGTTCACCGCAGCTTTGAAAGGGGTGTGTGTGTGGTTTTGGAGCAATTTTATGAAAACACAACCTCATTCCCTCACAAAATGTCCAGCCTAACAATAAAGGACAAGCTTAATAAATGTTAGTTTGCACCATGATGGCTGTAAAGTCAAGAAATAACGTGGATAATTTTGCTCTTTTCAGTAAAAGCCACAACAAAACTGCCATGGGTTCCACATGTTCAAGGCATGAGAGATGACAACAAATGATAAGAAACTCATTTATCTTGTTTATTTAGACAAGAGAAGGAAAAATGGCAGAGTTAACCTGCACCTGTCAAAAAGCGAATTTGTTTTTTGTTTTTTCTGGCCCAAACGCTGCGCTCATTTTAACGGAGTGTGATGAATCATTATTTATCCGCGTTGCTTTTTGGTCCCTCTAACGCTRCGAGCATCCGTTTGAGTGATTTACACCCATGTCACCGTTTGGCCAAGAGAAACAGAGATTTTAATGAGTTGTGCCACTCAGCGTCGAACCAAAAACATTCCCCTACGAGAAACAAAAACCACTAAATAAAGTGCAAATATAGCCTAATCTGATGAAACWTCACAGAAGTCAAACAGCAGCGTTGCTTCATTTATACGATGGGAAAGCGAGTATTTTGTGGACAGGTTTGTGTAAATGTGTGAAACCCTTATGACATTTTTTTTCTTCGAYAAAAGACAAATAGAGGCCACAGAGTTGAGAGTTGTGTACATAATCTTAATGATGGAAACCCGGAGGGATGCTGGATCAGTCAAGCGGAGCAGACAAAAACATACTTAAACATACACAGAACCCATCTCTGTATTACACAACYCTCCTTTTCCCATAGCTTAGCGTTAGGAAGAACGAGAGCAGGGAACGGCGGGTCACCCCGGGTGCTACCTCACACTCTGGCTACAATTTGGTCTCAGCTCTAAAGACAAGCAGGGTGTTGGAGAAAGGGCCGGGAAACCCATTTTACAGGTGGATGACACTTTTAGGCCCCATCTGTACCATGTTT